AGCATCCGCAGATGGATACAATCCGACTGGCATCCCCGGTTCAAAAGTGAGGGTATGGAGGAAGGTTGAAGGGGAAAGGGACCTGGACAAGAGCCACACCGTATGCAAGCAAAAAAATCTTTGATGGATCACCAGAAATACAGTATGCTATATTTTAAAAGAAAGAAAAAAATAAATCGTGATGAAATCAAACATTTAATGCATTGTGATGCATCGATAATCATGTCAAATCAAATCATGAGGTGCCTGGAGATTCCCACCCCTTGATATGATGCAGTGGCCCAGAGGAGGAGAGAATTTGCACTGTTAGGCTCTGAAATAACTTGTTGTGAATTTGCAGCTCACAGCAACTTAATATGATACAGTCTCTGTCTTTTGTCTCATGTCGTGTCGGCAAAAAATGTTGCACATTTCTGATCCATTTTTAGTGCAGATGGCGTGTTTACTATTACGTAAATATAACTATCACTTTGAACGGCGTGCTGAACACTGTTCAAACTTTACACTTGTGTTTACACATGTGGAAAAAAGAACAAACCGTTAAATATTAGTATTGAACGGCCGAATCTCATTCAACTGACATATTTCTGAGTCAGTTACAGCCCTCTATGTAATTTCACAAGAGGTACGTAATGTGACATTATCATTGTATGTGCATTTTCAAACCATTATATGGGGATATGTTGGATTTGAAGACGTAAGCTCCTTATGTATCAGACAGGATCAAGTAACTTCTTCTTCCTCCCCGACTACTATATTGGGGTACCATTCTTGGCACATTATTCTCCTGTACATCTGCATTTTTTTTTTTAGATTATTTTTTGGGCTTTTTGCCTTTAATTGACAGGACAGTGTGAAACGGGGAGAGAGAGAGAGTGGGGGGATGACATGCAGCAAAGGGTCGCAAGCCGGAATCGAAGGCATCGCCTCTGTACATGTGGCGCCAGCACTGTCCACTACGCTACCGACGCCCCAGAAACACTTAACTTAACTTAACTAACGCTGAGGACAGCTATGAGCTGAAATGCATCCGTTTGACTGCTGCTGTGCAATCCAATATATTAAAAGTATTATACTTATTAGTGAGTGCTGTCGGGTTTTTCTACTTTGCTGTGATTTTATGGACCGGCACCCAATTACTCTTTGGGACTTTTGAGTGAGCAAGTCTGCTAAACACTTAACTTTCTCCTGACTTTAAGTCTTTTTTTAAACGTTAGGCACACCATCTGACTATAAATGCAAAATAAAAGCATATATTTGAATTATCTAAAGAAAGTCTGTCTCACCCTGTAGTTTTGGCCAACCAGAGACTCACAGTAGTTTAAAAAAAGTATACCTTGAGGTTTATCTTGACACCAACATTTACAGTTGGTGCTCACATTTTAAGTGCATATTCAGATACCCATAAAAGAGATGAATGAGAAGGCAGATCAGGTCGTATGTTGGTCTCTCACTACTACAGCACTTATTGAACCAACAGCTAGGCTCTGCAATATCTCAAACATTCCTCCTTACTCATCACTGTGTATTGATTTGCAATTTAAAGCATTGCACATCTGTAATTATACAGTAGTGATAGATATTATTCTGTACAATTAATGGCATGAGTACTTTCTCCCTTCATCACTTTGTACTAGTTTTCCAACATACAAGATAACTCTACAAGACTGAAGATTAACCAGAGCCATCCTTTTTTCTGTACATATGGTAAAATTTGGAATGAAATCCCATATTACATTAGAAGCCAGCCCTCTTTTTTACAATAAAAACAATCACTCTTTATGCTGGATCAGAATTGTAATAATGAACAGAACATTTCATCAACCAGTCTCTCATGTCAGTCCTTCAAATTCAAATCACCTGTCTCAGTGGGCATTTATAATTTCTTATAATTTTACAATTTGATTTTAATTTCTCAGCTGCATCAGGCCCATAGCTTATATTGTTTTTCATTGCTTTGATTTTTTTCAAATGTCATGCTGGTAAAAATGGAGATGAAAATATTTCCTGTTTGATTCAGTTAACAACCTACAGCAACAGTAAAGCCAAATGCAACCACCATTTTCTCTATGTACAATGAATATGAACAAATTCCAGTGAAAAATGTACGATAATCACCGTTCTGTAGCATAGTCATTGGCAGAATAAAATACTTCTCAGTGGGAACAACACTGCTGTTAAACCTGCTGCTTTGCTGTTACTGCCTCACTATAAGACTCATTATGTTCCTGTAGTTTTTTTGTTTTCTCAAAAGCATGTGGCCTTGGTTTAAGCAGTTTATGTGGCAAAGCTACAGTTAGTAGTTCAAAGCACTTTGTTATTAACAGGCTGATAACTTGCCTCATGACAAGGGGGAGGGTGACATTTTCTAAAGTGAGAGCATTATTCAGTTTGTAGTCACCAATAGCTTATGAAACCTTCACTTCATATCAGTCATTGGCTTTATTTTATTACAGCATGCTGGGATGTAAGAGCTGTTCTGGGTGTGGGCGTCGGTTACAGTTAACCTTTTGTTATTTGTGATGTTTGTCTCATGCAAGGGAGATTAAACACACTCTTTTGTAAATTAAGCAACGGTTTCATGTTCCATCATTAATTACCTTAAGTCAACCAAAGTAACAGTGAGATATAGCAGGGTTTTCCCCTCACCCAGAACTTGTATGTGGCCAGTAATCTGAATGTGAAATTTGCAGGGGATGTGAGGCTATTGGTTGCTCATTAAGTTTCCTTCCCAGAATACTGTGGCATGGGGCGCTTTGTGGAATCTCACTTCCTTTAATATGATTCAACAACTTTTCCACTGGTGGGAAACATGTTGCTTGATACCACATAAAAGAAATACAGCTTCATTTTTGTCAAATGTCAGAACACTTATATACATGTGATTAACTGTCAACAGTCTGGTAAGTCTAGGTCAGGCTTTCATGACTGCTAAGCAGCCATGCTGAAGTGTCTTTGAGCAAGAATCCCTACAAAAGTCAGCTGCTGTTGATGACTGACTTTGGGCTCTGATCTAAAATTATTGTTTTTCATTATTGTCTGATTTTTTTTTAAAACAAATTGAGAAAATTATCAGCAGATTAAAAATAATGGTTGGCTGCAGCCCTACCGTTAGCCTGTTAGTTTCCATAAATTTAATTATCATGTCTTAAAATACCAGTAATGACAAATGTACACTGATCAGCCTCAACATCAAAACCATTGATGGGTGAAGTGAATTATATTGATCATCTCACTACAATGCAATGTTCTGCTGGGAAATCCTGGATTCTATGTTATATATTATGTGTGCCACCCATCCAAACACTGCTAAGGCCAACTTCAGAGAATTATCTGCTGCATCACCTCACATCACTGTCTCCACCAAAAAGTTGGACATGTACACAGAAAGACTTCAACGACAGGCAACCAGCACATACTTTCTTTGCTTGTGTGAGAGGAAATAACTCTCCACACCAGAGGATGGCAGTCGTTTGTAAAGGGAAAAGCTAGTCAGCCAGTTAGCACATTAACACCACAATCCAATGTTGAAGGAACAGAGATTTACCATGCACCAGTGAACAATAACACAAACATCACAAAACATTTCTGCTAAAGAGCTGGCTAAAGAAAAAATATCTTACCTTATGTAACAAATTTGTTTCAATCTCATGCCCTCTTGATTTTTAGCTGTTTGTTTACTTTCCTCACTTCCATTTCTCCTCTTGTGCACTGAGCTGAACTGTCTATCACAGTGATTTAATTCACTGATGGGCTCCACAGTTGCTGATGCTGATTCAACATGCTGAACCAGCAAAAAAAAAGACAAGCACCGATGAGGACAGTATGAGACACACTGCAGCGGCAAGGGCCACAGACGCTCACCAACAGCCCAACATTGACCACCACCTGACTGTCGGCTTGGTGTGTCAGGGCCTTTACAGACCAAGTTCACCCCCTTGTTGCAACAGGACTCCCTAATGGCAGTGCCCAGCCCCAGCAGGACAGTGCACCATGCCACCCTGCAAAAGCTGCTCAGGAATGGCCCGGAATCTGGTACAGAGCTCAAGATGTTGGCCTTGCCTCCAAATTCCACAGATCCCAATCTTAATCAAGCATCCATGGGACATACCGGTACCCCACCTTACAACAGACAGCTCTCAAAGGATCCGCTGCCATTGTCCTGCTCGGGGGGCCACTGCCATTGGTTAGTGCCATTACAATTAGAGTGGGTATGCGATCTGTAATGATGTTTCATTTTGTCACATGGATTACTGTAAATTTATTAGGTTGATCTGCTCTGTACACACAGCATCTATTGCACGTCTGTCCGTCCTGGAAGAGGGATCCTTCTCAGTTTCTCTTCCTGAGGTTTCTACCATTGTTTTACCCTGTTAAAGGGTTTTGGGGGGGGATTTTTCCTTATCCGCTGTGAGTGTCTGAGGACAGAGGGATGTCATATGCTGTAAAGCCCTCTGAGGCAAATTGTGATTTGTGATATTAGGCTTTATACATAAAATTGAAATGAAATGAAATTGAAATTTTTGGGTGGGTGAAGATAATCAGTGTCATTCACTTCACCCCACAGTAGTTTTAATGTTTTGGCTGATTGTTGTACATCACATTGGACGAGAGCAAAGTGTTCTCCAATTGCTTAAAATAGTAACAAATCATAAAAGTATGTAGTTTAAAATTGTGTAGTATAAGTGTAGTGTAGTATAAATGTAGACTAGAAGCAGCAATACCTCACATGTCAAGTCCTTTATCAAATGGATGATAGAGGACTGACAATTAATCAGATGTCCTTGATTCTTTATCTGCTGACTAATGGATGAATTCACTTATTGTTAATTGTGTTACCTCAACGATTTTACTTGTATGGAAACAGCAGGGACAGGCTCCCATCTGTTGAATATCTGCTGTTTAAAAACAACAATTGCTGTTGTTCCAACGTATTGGTTTTACCATGTTTTTGCTCTGTCTCCCTTTCCTTTCTCCCGTTTCCTCTCTCTCTGTCTCAGACAACCATCCATCACATAGAAGAGCGTCTAGTCACTGCATCCTGCAGCACATCGCTCTCTTCTCTCTTGAATATTAAACCAACACTGCCCTCTTCAGGTGAAAAGAGGAGCACCCACACATCAGATGAGAGTGATGGGGAGAGTGTTACAGAGGTCACTGGAGGGAGCACAGGAGGAGGTTACAAACTGCGGTTGGGTGCTGACTTCCACTCTTCCTCCTTTTCATCTTCATCATCTCTGTCAGCTCCTTTATCCCCAAAGCCTGAACTGCTGCAGAGTTTAAACCGAGCATCAGACTTCCTCAGTCCCCAGCCTGAACGTTCAACAGAGACACATTCCATTGCTGGATTGAGGAAGCCACTGAGTGCATACACAGCCTTACACTCTGATTCTCTCCCCAAAACTGATCAGGGTTCAGATCCCTGTCCTGCAGATGCAGACAAATTGACTGTAGGGATAATTCAGCCAAATGAAGAGGAGAAGGATGTGGTGGGAGAGGAGGACAGCCAGGATGTGAACCTACTCTCATTAACCTTTGGCAGGCCTGAGGAGGGGGAAGAAGAGGAGGAGGTGGAGAAATCCCATTGTGACTTGGCAGAGTTATCCTCTGCTTTAGAGGTGTACAACACAATCGTAACCCTGCCCTCACTTGACAGGAACACAAAGGAAGTTGCTATAGAAACTGTTTCCTGCACTGTTGATGAAGAGGAGGTGGAAGAGGAGGGAGAGCACTCTGGATATATGGTGCGTCCATGTCAATATGTCTTAGAGAACTTATTTTAGAAGTCTTGGGGCTAGAAGTTACTCTGCGTCATGTCTTTTTACATTTTCATAAAAAACAATGTTACAAAGACAGACTGTAAAGCTCATGTAGCAGCACTGTTATAAATACATTTCATTCATTCAGTCTAGACACTGACCTCTCATATGCTGATGAGGAATTGGCCTTACAGGGTGTACATACTCTTCCCACAAGTATAGTTTGTGGTGATGATGGGCCTCATGCAAGAACCACACATATACAAATGTTTGCTCTTATGTGGCATGTACAAATTATTTTGAAGAACTTGTGACGTTATTCAGTTTTCTTGTGTTTAGTATGTTTTCTTAGGCACAGAATTGTTGTTCAAGTCATGATCAGATCATCTGCCTGTGGTGGCCTGTTGTTAAACTCCATCACCTTTATGGGGCTTTGCTTCTTGACTCGTAATCTATTTCAGTGGCTCTCAGCCCCTTTAGTGTTATAACAATCTGCTTAAAATTTTAAGCCTAGTTTTTTTGGTTGTTGTTGTTTTTTGTTTTTGAAAAAGTGAAATCCTAAAGCGACTGTGGTAATAATGACTTGGGTAAGAGAAGGGCAGCAAAATTATTGGGCAGCCTTTAATTCCGGCATGATACAACCAAAAGAAAGTACTTAAAGAAAATTTTAATGAAGCTTGAACAGTTTATTGAGGTAGCAACTCCCCCTTCCCAAATAAGAGTGCAAGTAAAAAAAAAAAACAAAACTGGAGAAATGACCACTATAGTAAATTGTCCTTTTTGTCCAATTCAAGTCTTCCTTACTGAAAGCACTCCAAGCAATAAAAGGAATGCCCAATGTCCTGTCTTTAAAATGCAAAACTAAAAACCAGGAAAAAGCAAAGTACTGCAAATCAAAAAAGTCCAAAATGAATCAAATCATTGGCTGTAGAATCAACAAAATAAGTAATCCAGCCTTAGCCTGATGACTCTACCAGTCTTTATGGTCCTCCATACACACTTGTTTCACTGCAATCCGTCAAGGTATCACCATAAAAAAGAGTCAACGGGGTCTTTCTCTGTGGCAGGCTGCCCGGCTTCAACCTCACTCCTGTTTTCTCCTCACCTTACACAATCAAAATCCCTCACCAAACTATTCCCCTCTCCTTTGTTCCCTAGGCCAATTTTCAACCAATGTCCTCATCAGAAAATTGATTGAATCAGTGTAGTCAGATTAAAAATGTCATTATTGCAACTTACACTTGGGGAGTAAGATCTTTGGGGAGTTGATAAACTATATATTTTTGGGAAGTTTAGAGTATGACAAACTGCAAAACCAAATCTTTCCATGTTTTTGAAAGTGTATGTGGTGGTCATTTTGGACTTTCAAAAATAAGGACCATCCATAACTTGTTTTTAGCTGGATCCTTCATGATATATCAAAATGGCTTTCTGACTAAAGTGGATAATTGCATATTTTCCAAGCACAGGAAGCAAATGGGACCTTTTGCATTACACTAAAAATAGAATTTGATGAATGTTAGTCACCACAGTAGCCATTTCAGCCATGGAGTGAGGCCATTTTCCCGAGGCTTTAAATAAAATGAATGAATGAATGAACCTTTTAACACTGGGGTGTATAGACTGACCTTTAGTGACGTCTAGGATAATCATAGTGAGATGAAGCTTTACAGCCACAAACTAGAGACCTTGGGCATTGAGAGGATGTATGGTTGTCATAGGTATATTGACAAGAAGGAGGTTTCTCAGTAGTTTCTAGAACAGAAGTGCTCACAATCCAATAGCCGTAAAATGCAATTCTTGCAGAAATCTCCAAACATCAAAAAGCAATAATGCTCACTGGCATAGCAAGTGTTAAGTTTGATGACACCTTTCAAGTTCACATGCAGTGTGCTAAAGACTGTTATCAGCATTCCCTGTCCACTGCAAGGGCAAGGTGTGTCTCAATAATTGTTGTTTTTCTTTTTGTTTTGTTTTGTTTTATTTTTTTCTTTTTTGGTCAATGTGATTTCCTGAATAAGCCACCTGTTTAGCCACTAAAAGTAACCATCTGCATAGGTTGGAGTCTGACATTTTGGAAAAAAAAGTGTTTTGAACACTCACCATTTTTTAAATTGATTTTTTTTTCTTTTTTTTTTTAAATGGAAATGATTAATTTTTATATTTCTTATGTTCTGGCAATTTCAAAAATGTATTGTTCATTAACTTGCCAAGAATTTTGAATGAAAATTCATAAGCAACTGGACTAATGACTAAATCAACAGTAAATGAATGATTAATAATTTGTGAAATTTGGAAATGTTTATCAATAATTAGACCATTTGTAAATTGCAGCTCTCGTCGAAAGTACTGTTTTGTAGATTTCTCTTGCAAACAGAAGCACTTTGAGCACCATTAAGACTGTAAGTGTATAGGTTGTTCTATATCATGCATGTCTGTAACAAGTAGAGCCCATCAGCTGTGTACTTAATCATGTCTGAGTTGTGCCTGAGGAATGTTAGTTAATGAATGTCACACAGTCTCCACATTGTATGGTTATATACATGTTTTTATTTTGCCATATTGTTTTCATTTTATGTTTAGTGTACAGTCATACTAACATTACATTTTTTATAAGTTACACATTGTATCAGGATCATAACATAAACCATGTTTTATTGCAAGTTACTGTGTGCAGCCAACTTCAAACAACATTATCAAACAGCTTCCATAAGTGTGACGTTTTTGTATTTTATACTCACTGTAAAATTCTGCTGTTTAAAAAAACGCAATGTCACGTTATTCTTTAGTTTAATTACTCAGTGTCCAGCTGGAAACATGTACATTTCACAACTAATAAACTTACATTTAAATAGCAAGCCATGTTCTGTCATTTGTTCAACTGCAGTAAAAACACAAATTTTTCAAGCTTACTTTGTGCAGAAGGATACCAAAGCACAGCATGAGAGTCAGCATGAGAACTACAAATAAAAGTCTTAGGGGTCAGACACAAAGGCAAATTAAAGTCAAGTTTGCTGACTCAAGTTGGGACCATTGTCAGGCGACTGTGACCGCTCACACAGTTAAATGCAGGATCTGAGGGGCAGATCACAAAGGGAGGGACTTCTGGGGAAATAGAAACTCAGCCCTGCACATGATAATCAGTGGTGCTAAGTTTCCCAACCCCCACACATAACCCCAGTTCCCTCCCATCCTCCTCTATATGTTGTGTGCTCAAACCCAAAAACGAGCCTTATCTTGAGTAAGAGGTTTTACTACGAGCCATAACAGTCCATGGAGGGAAGATGGAGTTGTGGATGCTTCTTCTTCTGCATTTACACCTTGGTAATACTCCCTGGATTGGAGGTGGGGAGGAAGTAGGGGGTTTACATGGTGACTATTTGAGATGAATACATGTTGTACTGTTCATGTACTTGAGAGCTTTGTTGTGCAGGGGCAATGTGTCTATGTTTTAATTAGCTCCCTTTGTTTGTTTTTACACTTTTGGACTGAGATTTGTAGCAGCTGTGTAGATGTGTATATGGATGTTGGCAGAAGCAGTAAATGCGTTGTAATTCTGTAAAACCAGGTAGTTCCTCACAGCTCAGAATTAGCTCACTTGCATGCATAGCATCAGGAAATGTGTCAGTAATTTGTGCAGACAGCTGATTTAGCACTGTTTAGTGATGCAGAGTTATAAAACAATAAGAAAGACCAAACAATATTATTAAAATATCTAATAATGTTACTGTCCCTTTGAATTCCAAAGTGAATTTTCTTTTCTCCTGTTCAGTGGTATGTGTTTCCCTCCCTGAACCTTCCAACGTCTCCATCTCCTCCTTCAACATGGAGCACACACTGAGCTTCCTGCCTGGCCACGAGACTCCCTCCGACACCCACTTCACTGTTCAAATCCTCTGCCCCAGGTATTCAGTCAATGGGCATCACAAAGCTTGGTTAGAGAGGAAAGAAAAGAGAGGTGATAAGACAGTCACTACATTTACATGCACAAAATAGTAATTTTTTTTGTTTTATTCCGAAAGAGACAATATTCCTACTACACTGTTTACATGGCTTATGAAAATGAAAATTTCCACCAGTGGCAGACTTGTTGGACCGTGTGAGCACAGCCTTTCTCTTTCACCCCATAGACCACCTTCTTAAAAAGGTTGGTGTTATGATATTTTTTGCATATCCAAAAACCTGTTGCTATCCAAGTCTTTCATAATGTTTAAAAAGCAGGCAACCCTAAATTGAGATGCATATTCCAAATGTGCTGTATACATGTCCATATAATGCTATTAAAACCTGACTAATACCAGCATATCCCACGTCTTCATTGAAAAATGCTACATTTGGAATATAGCCTAATTCACAAAATCCAAATGGAAAATGCTATTTACATGACCCATGACATCGAATTCAGAATATTATCACATTATAGTGTGGATGTAAATGTACAGACTTAAGACCAAAATATATATATATATATATGTGTGTGTGTGTGTGTGTGTATATGTATAAAATATATGTATAAAATAAATGTGTGTGTGTATACTGAAACCAACATTTTAAACATATGCTTAGATTTTTTTCAAAACTGAATATAGTTACTATTCCTCATGTTTATTAGGGGTGCCTGCTGTGCAACACAGGCACAACCAATTATTATTCCTCATACTTATTGGATGTGAATAAGAAAGCTTTCACAACCTTTTGTCATTCATAACATTCATACTTTCTGAAATATTCTGGGTTTTTTTTGTCATTTTCCCCCATTCAAGACTCTTCAAACTTGACACAATTTCATGCTTTTTCATGCATTCTCCTCATTCATACATTCATATAGAAACTTCATTCAAACTTTAAATGTTCGTCATCTTTCATTCATTCTTACTTGTATTCAACTTTCAAATTCCATTAACACTTTTTGAAATATTCAAACTTGTTCAGAGCATGGAAAATATGCCCTCCTCAGAATTTATAATGGGTCTCTATGGGCGGAATGTTTCACAGCTAGAGTGGAGGACTCAACTGACAGTGCATAGAGCTAAAAAATCAGAATGATCTGAGTTATTGTTCTTGAGGAAAGGCCAGCAGTTTGAGGGATGCACCTCTGCTAAATCTCTGTGAGACTAACTGCCTCAGCCAGAAGTCACGAGCAGTTTACATTACCATGGCAACCTGAGCTCATGAGTGCAGTTTGACACACACACACACACACACACACACACACACACTAATTGGACCCATTTCCACTCTCTCAGCTATTCCTAATACTTTATACCTCATTTTTACACAGTTAAGCCAGCATTGCAGTGTAGTGTCAGCTTTTTAAGAATCTTGGTATATTCCACAATATTGGTATCATTCAACTTTTCAATAACATTCAAACTCACTTGACCCCTTTCAACCTTTTTACTTATTCCTATGGCTTTACCTTCTTCCTATACATTTAAGTCAGCATTGGAGTGTAGTGTAAGCTTTTAAAAAAAACCTTCAAGTGTTCCACATCATTCATACATTAATGATATTATTCAGCGTTTAAAGCCAGCATTGCAGTGTAGCGTCAGCTATTCAGCATGCAGCATTCACACCTGCAATTTCTTCAGAAATTGCATTCTCTAGTTCTTATTATTCCACCCACTTTTCTTTTGCGGCGCTACTACTTACTCCTTCCACAATTTTCAACATACAAACTTCATTCAAACATCAAAATATTCATTGTAATTAGGACGGACTTGCTATGACTTTTCTCATTCATATCTTTCATACTTTCCAAAATATTCAGCGTTTTTTGGGGCATTTTTCCCCATTCAAAAGAATGGAGAAATCTTCAAAGCGTAGCTCCTCATTCATACATTCACGTAGAAACTTCATTCAGACTTCAAAATGTTCATCATCTTTTTCACATTCTTACTTGTATTCAACTTTCAAATCCTATTCAAACTTTTTGAAATATTCAAAGCATGGTAAAAATTCCCTCCTTAGGTTTTACCATGGGTTTCTATGGGGCAGAATGCTCACAGCTACAGTGGGGGACTCAACGCTGCTTGCAGAGAGCTTCTTAAGCATGTGTCTTGAACTCGCCCACAGTTCTCACTCTACATTCATCATTTTTGGTAAAAATGAAGTAAAACTTGTCTTCTTTCAATGAATGTCACTTTGGAAGCATTCAAACTTACACATTTGGTACAGTGAACCTAAAAGTCAGAGAAACTCCACCAAGTGACGCATTGAAGTCCATGTTAAGTGAGACCAGAAATCTCTGAGGACAGCAGATCATGCCAGTTTTCTAACCTGTGACCATGCTCACATTTTAGACACAACAGACACAAATTTAAAAATACTTATTCCTCAAGTTGTGCTCTCTTTCACAGTATACAAATTATAATCATCGGAGGTATTGTTTTTGAGGAAAGGCCAGCAGTTTGAGAAGAGTGCTTCAACTAAATCTCTGAGATTTACTGCTTTACCCAGGAGTCACTGAGCAGTTAATATTACCATGACAACCTCTCTGACACACAAATACAGACATGTAGGTGTGTGCGTGTCTCTGAATCTCAAATAGGCTACTGAGGACAGTAGCAGAATCTCCATTTTAAACAGCATACTACTGTTGCTTCTTTTGTGATTATGACTGTTAAATACATATTGTAACATATTGTAATATTATACATACACAGTGCTCAGTACTTGTAGTACATGTAGTATGCAGCAAGAATTCATACAAATTAAACTCATTACCACTTTTCCAACTATTCCTACTACATCACCTTCTTATACATTTATGTCAGCATTGCAGTGTAGCATCAGCTTTTCAGCAACCCTTCAAATAGTCAACATTAGTCAAATAGTCATTCAACTTTTCAATGACATTCATACTCGTTAGACACCTTTCAACTTTTTCAACTATCACTTTACCTTATTCTTACAAATTGAAACAAATATTCCACATCCTTCATACATTAATGTTATTATTCAACATTTAAAGCCAGCATTGCAGTGTAGCGTCAGCTTTTCAAGAACCTCAAAATATTCCTTATTAACCTTAACCTTATTTACACTTTTCTAACTATTCATATTACTTCACCTTTTTCTTACACACTTATGCCAGCATTGCAGTGCAGTCAGCTTTTCAAACAACCTTAAAATATTCCACATCATTCATACATTAATGGTAGGCCTATTATTCTCTAGTTATTTACTGGTATCCTCTTAATTACAGTATCACAAAGCCATTTCCTTACAGGAACATGAAACAGTCAGCCTCACAAAGTCTTTCTCCTCTTCTTTTACTTTTGTGATTTGGCATCACCCTTAAGGCATTTACTTGGAATGGCTCTTATTTCATGTAGGCTGAATAGTAGATGATTGACAAGTGCTGTCCTCTGATGCTGAGTTATTAACATGAACAGTCCACCACTGACTGAGCTGTTTTCCAAATTCAGACCTCTCTGGAGAAAACTGAGCTTGTGAGATCTGTGCTTTGTCAAGCTTGAAACATTACCATAGAGACTACCTTGTTATGGGATCACTTCAGATTTTTTTTTTTGCAGCAATCTACGATTAAAAAAAAAGTCAGCCAGGGGTGTAAAGTGGGGGAATTAACAGCTCCTTACCTATTTGCTACCCCCCATCTTCCCACCCCCTTGCTTGGACCACATCATTTAACTCAGCCTTCATTGTGATCACAGCTACACACCTGTAAAGTTTTGTGACAGCATCTTGCACAATTGTGACTTTAGCACAAAAGACATAAACACCTGGTTAAATGCTTAAAATGGCTTCTGTGGTAGAGCATGTGATCTGCTATGACTCTGCAAGGGTTCCCACCCACACAGGGTTTATAGCCTGCAACTTCGTACGTATGGTACATGTGTGTGTGTGTGTGTGTGTGTGTGTGTGTGTGTGTGTTTGTTTGTTTGTCATTGTGGTAAAATGTGGTTTTAATGACACCTGTTGTAACAGGAACTACAACAGATGCTGTTATTTTTTGTATTTGGGGAGGTGTTTTTTTCTGTCTGTCTGTCTGTCTATCTGTCTGTGGACAAAATTTTGTTCTGAACTGTTCAAGATGCAGTCACGAACTTTACGAGTGTGCAGTCGAGATCAAAATGAAAGCAGAGTTTACTGATGTGGTAGGAGCAAGGGGGGCCAAAAATAGAGGGGCTGAAAGTAGGGCAGAGGCCACTGTGGGGGGGCATAGCCCCTGGCCCACATTCATTTTAAGTCACAGATTGTGGATCACTGTATCACAGCTGGACTGATCCCATCACAAGATGGTCTCTAGTTTAATATGTAAGCATCAAGTTGAGCAACAAGCCACATGGCAGTTCTTACAGAGAGCACAGAATTTAGCACTCTGGTTATTGGATTTTGGAGAGAGTTGTTCATTTTTGCTAATATTTTTGGACTGTCTTATACCATAGGAATAACATATATGAATTTGGAAAATGGGTGTAGTTCCCTTTTAGTGCCAAGGGATCTCCAGTGTTATATCTGTTTATCCTGAGGGCAACATGGAAATCTGTACCAAATTTTATAGCAGTCAAACCAACATGGTTTGAGAAATTTGAGAATTTTCCCTGGATGACTTTGACCTGTTGGTGGCATATCAGAGGTTATGATTAATCCTCTTGGGACTATAAAATGTCTGTACATAATTTCATCCTAATCCATCTACCAGTTGTTGAGATATTTTAGTCTGGATCAAAGTGGTGGACAGGCCCACAGAGCATCATCCCTGAATGGCAACAGCATCTCATATTTCTCTGTTTATAATAGTCTGAAATGTATTCCATGATGATAATGCTAACCTCCTACTCAGCACAGTCTGCCAGATGTTTCACTTTTGTTTCTGAGGAACTTCTTAAACGCTGTGAGTAAGCACTTTTTTAGTAACTGTAGCAATATCACAACAAGTGTGTGTTCTTTGTCCCAGGATGATGCACACAGCCCAGTTAGTTGCCTTTCTACTCTGCTGTGAATGTTATCTGTGGTATTATGCTAATCGTCATGTTGACAGTTCTGTTTTCTCTCCCTCTGCCTCTGCACTGACCTCCACCTGCTGTGGTCTAAGTGATCTAAGTTGGTCTAAGTTTTTTTAGGATGACACATTCTTTCCTTACCAGTGCTCCTCCATCTTTTTCTCTTTCCCTCTGTATTTTCTTTCACTTTGGAGGAAGAAGAAGAACATGTGGAAACCAGTAGCTGCTTGTTCAGAGCTGACAGCTGGACAGACATGTAATCTAACTCAAACATTTAAGGACCCCTTCGATCACTACCGTGCCCGCGTCCAGGCCTTCACATCCACACAGACGTCCGGCTGGACTGAATCAGGGTGGTTCCAGCCTCTGTCAGACAGTGAGACACACTTATTTGGAAGATTTAAAAGTTACAAACATTTCTCCAACCAAACTAAAAATCCACAGTTGTTCTAAGTGCACAGTAGACATATACATTGGTCAATTTATATAAACATAGTATATGCAGTGTACTTAGCTCACGTTATTTCTTTTTCGACATGTTGGAAATTGAGTGAACATGGGACTGCTGTCCAGCATCAGAATTGCAAACATCTCAGTTTTTTTAAATTATGACTATTTGTCCTGTAATGAAACTCTCCCAGTTGACTGACACTGAGTTTATTGCTCTCCGTAGCTGTGTTGGGACTTCCTGATGTGTCTGTGTCGGGCTGTGGGAACTGTTTGGTTCTGCAGCTCAGAGTTCCTTCAATGAAGAGATTCCAGCAGCTGAGGGACTTGTATAGAGGACTCATCTTTGATGTGCAAAGGACCTGGGATGGTGCACAGGTATGTGTCAGGCTTAAAGGGACAGCTCACCACAAAATCTAAAAAACTAATTTGGACTCCTACCTGTAGAGCTTTTTTTTTTCTTTGTCCAATTCTCTTTTTATTAGGATTTTACATGGTTCACATGTTCATTGACATAACATTTCACCATTCTCATCCATTCATCCATAAATTACAGTTGAATCTCCACAGTATATCCAAGACTATATATAATACAGAGATGAATGATTGGTCCTTCCAACATATTATAAGGCAATCTGTTAATACAATATAAGAACTAAACTTCGTAGAACAGGAACGCTGGAGTGCACCTCCGCGATATTAAAAAAAAATAGAAAACTTTAAAAATGAAGTAAAAAGGGGAAGAATAGGAGAAAAGGGACATACAATTTAGCATTAGACAAAAGATGGTCGCACCGGTGTAACATACATGATCCATCTTTCCCATCTTTTCAAAAACACACTTTGTTGCAGTCTCATGGCAAATGTAATTCTTTCCATCTTAAAAATGTCATAAATAATGTCAATCCACTCATCCACCGTAGGTTTTTCTAGTTTTAACCACTTCCTTGTAATGGCTTTCCTATAGCACAATTTGATAGACCTCCTGCCAAAAAGGTTTCAATACTGGACAAGACCAGAATATGTGAAAGTGATTTGCCTCAAGGCATCCGCACTGTCTCCAACATGCAGATGAGTTGGTGTAGTGTCTTTTTTGAGCTGGCGTTATAAAGAATCTGATAAGGCTTTTCTAGCAGAACTCTCTCCAAAGTGTTGAATTTTAAGTTTTCCATTGTATCCCACATAACTGTTCCTAGTCTTCTGCATTTAGAACTAGGTTCCCTTCCTCCTCCCATTTCTGTTTTACATGCAGTGAGCTACTTTTCATTTGTTGTAAGCCCCTATAAAGTTTTGAGATGGTTTTTTGGTTTGGGCCTGAAGCATAAGCATCTATAAAGACTTTTAATAAAATGTTATCCCATTGCTCTTGTGTGATCTTCTTCCTAATTTGCTCAATGTAATGACGGGCCTGTAGAAATCTATAGAAATCATCATTATTCAAACTGAATTGTCCCTTTAGGTTTTGAAAATTGTTCACTGACCCCTTACTCAAAAAAGTGCAATATGCTGTTAAACCATGAGTTACCCATCCCTTAAACCTCACATCCCAATTTCTAGGCACAAAATCTGGATCAAACGCACACCACCTCAAAACTTTTATCGCTTCCTTTAAATGATTTTGAGCTATTACCCTGTTCCACAGCTTAAGTGGCAAAACAATCCAAGGGTTTCCCAGATCCATTAACTTATTCATCAACCCCTTATCCCCTATTGCTGCTTGAATTGGAAACTCCCCTGTCATATCCCCCTCAATCTCCCTCCATCTAGCCCTGTATTCTGGATTACACCAGCATATTAACGGTCTCAGTTGAGCAGCAGTATAATAATCTTTTAGACACGGGGATTGAAAGAGATACAACATTCTCGGCAGAATAATCATTTTAACTGATTCAATACAAGATCCAAAATTAAGAAAAGGTATTGAATCCCATCTCCGTATGTCTTCCCTAATTTTGTTGTTCAGGGGGAGAAAGTTGAGTGCAAACAATTTTGACAGGTCTGTAGGTATATTTACCCCCAGATATCTCATGGATTCAGCTTTCCATCTCAAGTTATACCTCTTCTTCACATTTTCTGAGGAACTGTAATTAAAAGTAAGAATTTGTGTTTTTGAAACATTCAACTTATATCCTGAAAAAGATCCATATTGTTCCAAAAGTGAAAACAGCTGTACAAGAGATTGTTCTGGGCTGGATAACTGTAACAATATATCATCGGCAAACAAGGAAATCTTTTGTTCTCCTCCTTTCATACATATTCCTTTAATGTCTTTATTATGAATAATCCACTAAGGGGCTCAATAAAAATCGCGAATAAGAGAGGACTAATTGGACAGCCCTGCCTCGTTCCGTGTTCCAGTGAAAAGGGGTTTGAAACTACTCCATTAATTTTAATTCTTGCCCTCGGGTTATCATAAAGAGCCTGTATTGTCTTAATAAAAGAATTGTGAAAACCAAATTCCTCCAAAACTCTAAACAGAAAATACCAATTTACGCAATCAAAAGCTTTTTCTGCGTCTAACCCTACTAATACTGCTGACAGCTTACTGTCTGTTATATGACTTATTACGTGCAAGGTCTGTCTAATGGTATTTTGGGTTTGTCTCTGACGCACAAAACCCGTTTGATCAAGGCTAATGATTTGTGGTAGCAGTCCCTCTATTCGCTTGGCAAGTATATGTGTAAAGATTTTATAGTCCTGATTTAATACGCTAACCGGTCTATAATTACTACATTCCGATTTATCCTTCCCTTCTTTTGGAATAAGTGAAATTACCACTTCCCTCCAGGAGGGAGGTATCATGTTCCTTTTAAGGACCCAATTAAAGGTAGACTGCAACATAGGGATCAACGAAACCCCCATTACCCTGTACCACTCTGACGGAAACCCGTCTGGGCCTGGGGCCTTCCCTGATTTAAGATGGGCTATGGCTGCGCTAATTTCTTTCTCTGTTATTTCCTCTGCAAGTCGGTTACTCTGTTCAACGGTCAGTTTAGGAAGAAGAATCTTCTCAAAAAATTCTTCCATTTTTGTTTTGTCAACATGAGGTTGAGAGTATAGTTTTTGAAAATATATTTCAAAACTCTTTTGTATATCTTTCAATTTATGGTGTATTACATTAGTCATCAGGTTTTTAATTTTATGGATTGAATTCTCCGCTTGCTGCCTTTTCAGCCTATAAGCTAACAATTTGCTGGCTTTCCCTCCCCCCTCATAATATTTCTGTTTTGTAAATATTAACTTCTTTTGTATATCTCTTGTATATGTCTCATTTATTTCATTCTTTTTCTTCCTAAGTGCTTCTTTAATCTTCTCGTCATTTGCATCTTTGTGCTTTTGTTCTAGCTGTTTCAGTTCTGCTTGCAGTTGATCTAATTGTTTTTGCTTAGCTTTCTTTAAATGAGAACTATATCCAATTATCTTACCTCTTAGCAGTGCTTTACATGCGTCCCACAATATTGGAGGTGAAACCTCACCATTTGTCATTCTGTTCCAAAAACTCAGTAATATCTTTCTTAATTTGGTCCTTCATATGATTCAATATATGAATGTTTAATCTCCTTAAGGTGTTTCTCTGATATTGTTCGAGATGTAGTTCTAAATAAAGAGGGCTATGTTCTGAAAGGTCCATAATCCCTATGCTGCAGTCACCAACCCTGTGCAAATCTTTACTAAAGATTAAAAAATATTCAATCCTTGAATATACCAAATGTGGATTAGAAAAATATGTATAGTCTCTCTTCAAAGGATTTAACTCTCTCCAGACATCTATTAAACCAATATCTTCCATTGTCAAATTGATCTTTTTGTTCAGTTTGACTGGGCTGAGTAACATGTACTTTTGAAGAATCAAGTTTAGGGCTTAATCTAATATTGATATCCCCCCCGCATATTAAGACACCTTGAGATTCTGCTATTATCAAATCAAATATTTGTCTAAAAAAACTCCAATCCGAATTAGGGGGAGCATAAATATTCAATATAGTTATCAATGATCCATTTAAATTCCCTCTCAAAAAAATGTATCTCCCTTCTGTGTCCTTCTTTTCAAATATGGGCTCAAAATTAATCTTACTGGAAATTAATATTGCCACCCCCCTCCTATGGCCAGCTGCATATGATGATGAGAACTGACTTAAAGCCCATTCTTTTTAATTTAGCATGCTCTGTATTGGAAAGATGCGTTTCTTGTAGAAAAGCCACCTCAACTTTGTCTCTTTTCAGTTTGGTCAAAATCTTGCTTCTCTTAAAAGGATTGACTAGACCATTCACATTATAAGTTTCTATTTTAACTGCTTGCATTTCGTGTCCAATGAAGAGAAGGAAAAAAAAGGCCCCTTCACATAACAACCACAAATATTCACTGTTAGTTAGATTTATCACAGGTAACACCCCAAAGGCTGCAAAGAACAGCAGCAAAACACGCCCCTTAGTGAGGAATAACACACAAAAACAATGACATCTGAAATAAAGACTTCCAATAGTGAAGTCTTCATCTCGACCCTAATTAAGCCCCGATGACAAGAGGGCTTTGAGGGAGAGCTTCCCCCACTAGCCGGTGTGTGAGGGCCCTCAGTCACTTGTAACAGTTTGTGCATACTATTGATCACCCGGCTACATGGCAAAAAGAAAAACAAAGGCCCAACATTTACATTATATCCTTAGTTATGGCCTATAAAATGTTCTTATAATGTGCAATTCTTGTTTGCAGTCTGTCCTCCCTCTGCTGGGAGCCGGGTCCCCGGCGTCCCCTAATTACAACAGAAACTCACCCCTTTTTCCACCGAACCATGATTTACAGTTCTCTGACAGTCACATCGGATCCGGGCGCCTAAAGGCCTGCAGGTTCTCTTTGTAGCTCCCGACTTTGTCCGTTCTCTCCCGGTTCCCCGGTCTCCTGCTCGTGCTCCACGTGAACCGCTGTATCTGCTCCAAAAGAGACTCCGGGTGTTTAATAACTGATACTGGGAACCCCCTCTTCGCCATGTCCCCGGTCGCCTTCTCCGCTGATCCATACAGTACCGTCCCCTCTGGGTAAAAAACTCTTAACCGGGCCAGGAACGGAGTCTGAAATCTGATTTTCTTCTCCTTCAGCACCGACTTCGCATCGGCATATTCCCTTCGTTTTTTCAACACATCAGGCGCATAGTCGTGGTCCAGATTAACCCTTTTTTCGTGACATTGAAATCCACGCTTCTGCCAGGCCAGTCTCAGTATCTCCTCTTTCATCCTGTAGCTTGACAATTTGGCCACAATTGACCTTGGTGGAGCTCTCGATGGCGGCTTCGGCATCAAGACGTGGTGGGCTCTCTCCACCCGCAGCTCAAAGGAGTCCTGGAGCCCCAGACCCCCCCGGAGCAAGTGCTCCACGTATTCCA